TTCTGCTTATGTGGTGCTGAGGAATCGAACCCAGGGCCTCATGCATACAAGGCAAGCGCTGTACCACTGAGCCACCTTCCCAGCCCAAGTCCCTGAGTTTCTTATCTTCAACTAATCACCAAAAAGTGGAAGTGGAGCTCAAGTGGTATAGTCCTAGTGGTATAGTCCCTGAGTTAAAAAACTCAGGGGCAGCATCCAGGCCCTGCAGTACCCACAACAGGCACACAAAGTGTATACATATATGTATATATATGTGTGTATATATGTACATGTGCATACAACATCCTGGTCAGACCTAATGGTGCATGCCTGTAATGCCACCACTCAGAAGGGTAGGGCAGGAGGAGTTTAAAGCCAACCTGGGCTCTACAGTGAGATTCTGTCTTACAAAAATAAAAAGCAGGGGCTGGGAAGATGGCTCAGTGGTAGAGTGCTTGCTTTGCATGCCTGAGGCCCTGGGTTCGATTCCTCAGCACCACATAAGCAAAAAGAAAAAAGCCAGAAGTGGCACTGTAGCTCATGTGGTAGAGCCCTAGCCTTGAGCTAAAGAGCTGAGGGACAGAGCCCAGGCCCAGAGTTCAGGCCCCATGTCCGGACCCAAAAAATAAATAAAATTAAAAAAAAACCAGTGCTCACTTCTGCAGCACATATACTAAAATTGGAACAATACAGAGAAGATTAGCATGGCCCCTGCGCAAGGATGACACACAAATTCGTGAAGTGTTCCATATTTTTAGGGATGGCAGGGGAAAAACAAAGGAGGGGGTAATAATGCTGAATAGGAAATGGACTCATTACCTTACTCATGTAACTTTAACCCCTCTGTATAGTATCTTTACAATTATATATATATATATATATATATATACACATAATAAAAATAAATAATACAACTTGCTGGGTGACAATGGCTCAGCCCTATAATCCTACTCAGGAGGCTGAGATCTGAGTATCACAGTTTGAAGCCAGCCTGGACAGGAAAGTCCATGAGATTCATCTCCAATTAACCACCAAAAAGCTAGAAGTTAAGCTGTGGTTTTCACAAAGAACAAAAAACAAAAACATTCAGGGACACTCAAGCTCTGAGTCCAAGTCCCAGGAATAGTATAAGAAAATAAAATACTCTCTGGGTGCCAGTGGCTCACACCTGTAATCCTAGCTACTCAGGAGGCTGAGATCTGAGGATCTAGATTCAAAGTCAGCCCAGGCAGGAAAGTCCATGAGAATGTTATCTCCAATAAACCACCAGAATACCAGAAGTGGTACTGTGGCTCAAGTGGTAGAGCGCTTGCCTTGAGCTGAAGAGCTGAGGGACAGTGTCCAGGCCCAGAGTTCAAGCCCTACAACTGACAAAAAAAAACAAAACAAAACAAAACAAAACAAAAAACTCAACTTTCAAGCCATATAAAAATAGGCAGCAGGCCAGGTTTGACCTGTGAGCTATGGTTTGCTGATCTGTGAACCAAAACCAAAACATACATTATGTTCATAGCTAATACATTACCTGGAAGGGTTTTTGGAAAATTTCATCCATTGCCAGACGACCGTATTCTGTAAAGAGCTATAAAAACAACAAGAGTTATGGTTTGTAAGGCAAATTTAGTTAATACAGTTCTGTGCTATTCTTTAGCAAAGTACTTATTTAGCAGACTGGATATTAGTATTGAAACCACAGTTCCATAGCCTAAAAAGCCCACAGGAGCTTAAACTGTCATGAACCTTAAAATGGTCTTGATTAGGGGCTGGGAAGGTGGCTCAGTGGTAAAGCACTTGCCTTGCATGCCTGAGACCCTGGGTTCGATTCCTCAGCACCACATAAGCAAAAAGAAAAAAAAAAGCCAGAAGTGGGGCTGTGGCTCAAGTGGTAGAGTGCTAGCCTTGAGCTGAAGAGCTGAGGGACAGCGCCCAGGCCCAGAGTTCAGGCCCCATGACTGGACCCAAAAAAAAAAAATGGTCTTGATTATTTCTCTATTTTCCACATCCCAATTCATCAGCAAATCCAGAATCCAACCACTCATCAGTTCCACATAGCCTGGAATACTCAACAGCATCCTAAATGTCCTTACCTCAGCTCTGCCTTCCCACAGACTATTCTCAAGACAGCTACCACAGTGGTTCTGTTACAAAATCACGGTTGCTGAAACACAGCACACTTCTGCTCACAACATTACACCCTCATTCAGTCTCCAGCCACTATGGATCACTGTGCTTCAAACAAGTGTACATGCAGCTGCCTGAGGGCCTTTGTTCTGGCTTCTCCTTCTGCCTATATAGTGTTCTTCCCACAAACAGACTTGGAATCAGCTCCCTCATTTTCTCACATCTTTATTCAAATGGCTCCTTCTCAATGAACCCTCCCATGACCATCTACCTAAAGGATTACAATTTTCTAGACAGTATTTCCTACCTCCATCATTTTTTAAAGTATTATTAGCATCAACTAGTTAAACACAGGGAATTCATTTTGATATGTCCATTTATGCACACATGTAACTTGGTCAGACTCACCTCCTCAACCCGGTCACCTAATATACTCCCACCTTTACTTGTAGGGACTAGTGTCAATTTTCTCCGTGAGCATTTAAGTCCCACAGGACAAGAACATTTGCCTTTTTATTCACTCTGAGCCCACAATATTTACCCCATCCAGATTCTTGAATGGATTCATTAAGATTATAATGTACCTTTTTCTTCATAAACCTCACTAAAAACAAAAAACAAAGCTTAAATGTTACACAATCAAAGGACAAGGAAGAAAGGAAAAGCCACGAATGCTATGAAAGGAAAATAAACAGGCAAGAAATGTCAAGAAACAAGTAGATTCTCTACCAGACATGCTGATACATACCTATAATCCCAACACTCAGGAGGCGAGAACAGTAAGGTGACAGAGGTCAGTCTAGATTACAAAGTGATATACTGCCTCAAAGAGAAAGAGGGAAAGAGAGAGAGAGACAGAAAGAGAGAAAGAGGGAAAGACAGAGAGGCAGAGGCAGAGGTAGAGAGAGAAGTGGGGGGAATGGAATGGAATAGAATAGACCAGAATAGAACATTCTCTCAGCAGAATCTCTAAAAGAAGTCTGGGAAATAATAAATGCCCAGTACCCTGCATCATAGGTATGAGAAATGTTTGTGACTCTGGGAAGACCACCTACACCTCCAGGTTCCTAACCTCTCAGCCCTATCTTCTTCTTGCCCTCACAGAAATGTTGGACTAGAAAGACCAAAGAAAAACAAAACACTAAAGCAGGGTACCAGTGACTTGGGTCTATAATCTGGGAGGCTGAAATAAGAAAGACTGAAGCTGGACGTTGGTGGTTCATGCCTGTAATCCTAGCTAATCAGGAGGCTGAGATCTGAGAATCAAAGTTCAAAGACAACCTGGGCAGGAAAGTCCATGAAACTCTTATCTCCAATAAACCACCAGAAAACAGGAAGTGGCACTGTGGCTCAAGTGGTAGAGCGTTTGCCTTGAACTAAAGAGCTGAGAGGGACAGTGCTCAGGCCCAGAGTTCAAGCTCTGCAACCGACCAAAAGAAAAAGAAAAAAAAGAAAGATTGAGGTTGTAGACCAATGCAGTGGAGAAAAGTTTATATACCTGTCCTGTCATCTCAGCAATAAAAAGTAGACAGCTTCAGATAAGTGAGTCTCTAACTCAAAACAACAACAAAAATAACAGCTTGGCACTAATGGCTCATGTCTACAATCCTAAGATACTCAGGGGGATGAGGATCCCAGTTCTAACCTCCAATTAACTAGCAACAAAGCCAGAAATGCCAGGTGCTGGTGGCTTATTCCTACAATCCTAGCTACTCAGGAGGTTGAGATCTGAAGAGTTTGATTTGAAGCAAGGCTAGAGTAGGGAAGTCCATGAGATTCTTATCTCCAATTAACCTCAAAAAAAAAAAAAAGGAAAAAAACAGAAATGGAGCTATGGCTAGAGCAAAAAAAAAAAACCAACAAAAACTCAAGGACAGCACCCAGGTCTTGAGTTCAAGCTCCAGGCCCAACACACACACATATACACACACACACACACACACACACAAACACACACACACACACACACACACACCCCAGAAGTGGAGGTAAGGCTCAAACAGAAGAAAGTCAGCACACACACACACACCCCAGAAGTGGAGGTGAGGCTCAAATAGAAGAAAGTCAGCACAGACACACAGACACACACACAGACACACACAGACACACACACACACACACACACAGAGACACACACACAGAGACACACACAGAGACACAAACACACACACACACACCAGAAGTGGAGATAAGGCTCAAATAGAAGAAAGCCAGCCAAAAGTGAAAGAAAAAAAGCTGAGTGGAGAGCAAGAGTGCAAGATTCTTGGTACTGGCATGCACCCACAACCACACATGTACACACCAATACACACACCCACACAGTAAAATCCAGGGTTGGAGACATGGCTCCAGCTATAACAATAATGAGACCCTGAGTTTTTAAATCCTAGTACCACAACCAAAACAGTCTAGGCCAGACATGGCAGTGCATTAGTACATGCCTATAATCCAAGCTCCTTGAGAAGCAAAGCTAGGAGGATCTAGGTTCAAGGCCAGGTAGTAATACCCTTTCTCAAAAACAAGCCAAGCATGATAGTGCAGACCTGTAATCTCAGCTACTTAGTAGGCAAAGGAGGACTGCCATCCCAGGCCAGCTCCAGCAAAAGCTTTAGACAAGCAAAAAACAAAAGGACCAGAGGCAGGACAAGTCTATGGTAGAACATATACATGCCTAGTAAGCATGAGGCCCTGAATTCAATCCCCACTGATACCCCCCCGCCACCCCCCCAAAAAGTGAGTACATATATACAAATATAATACAGCCTTGGATACCGAACTCTACTAAGGTTAGATGCCCACTATCTTATTGGAAAGTACTCAAATCCAAGTATACATATTGAACAGCAAGTTCCTTAACTTTCTCACCATGCTTAATTTAAAGAAATGTCTGGTGGAAGTGATTGCCCAAGAATAAACTTGTATAAATACTGACATTTAGGAGTTGGCAACAAAGTAGACAATCTTTCCCAATCACTACACTCCTCCACACTGGTACATAAGGCCCACCTTTTCTAAGATCTCTTAGCCACTAAATTGTTTTAAGTAGGGAGTAAGAGAAGGAAGAGTGATTATGTCTAAAAACAAACTTTAGGGGCTGGGAAGGTAGCTCAGTGGTAGAGCGCTTGCCTTGCATGCCTGAGGCCCTGGGTTCGATTCCTCAGCACCACATAAGCAAAAAGAAAAAAGCC